AGAGAAGGTCTCATACATCTTTTATACACCTGCATGCTAAATGAGCAAGAACACCCAGGTGCTGAGTAAGACTTATGAATCTGTTGTAAATTATGCACACAAGTAATTTGGCATGTCCAGAAAGTAGTGCTATCAGTGGAACAGTTTTCCTAAACTCTCTATAATTTAGGAGAATGCACACCGAAAGGCAGTGAAACAGTGACAGGGCCTAATTGCTCAGCACAGTGTCTCTGCTTCCACAGGTGCCAGTCACAGAGAAGGATGCTAGCCCACCAGGGACTGGTTTACACCCAAAGCAGAAGCCGGTGTAGCTGTGCCAGGAGACCGAAAAAGGCAGGGACCTTAACTTTGTTAGCTTCTGGATGGCAGCAGTAGAGACGGCTTTTATCCATGGGACTGGAGGCTGTGTCCAAGTGGAGATGGCGAAACAACTCTGAAGAAAGAGAGACAGGGAACTGTGTTCTTAGGATCAAACAGACTTTCCGTAGCAGTTGAGGGGCTACACTTGTGACTGCTCAAAGGGTAGGCCGTGGACTAGCAGCATCGGCATGACCTGGGCCTGGGCCTTACCCCAGACCTACTGAATCAGAACCTGTATTTTAACAAAATACCAGGTGATTTGCATGCACATTAGAGTTTGGAAGGCACTAGTACATGCTACCAGCTTCCTACTGGCTGCTCCACAGTGGTAGCCTGGACTGGCTAAGAAGGGACACAGCGTTTTCAGCCCAGTAGGAGGTTGATCTCCTCTTCATTTCAGCAAAAGCCAATGAATGATCGCCTTCCCCTCATGAGTACACATTCCTTGTTTTTTTTCTTTTTTTGTCTGCCCCCATTGTTTTTGTTGAGGGGCGGGGGGAATTAACTGTATGTAATTCTGGCCAAGCTGTCAACTAAGAGGCTGGGCACCTGACTGAGGACTGATGTGGAGACAGGGGCCTTTATTCTTTTGAGAATATAGGGGCAAGGACAATATTCTCTTGGGACTGGCAGGGGGTATCTTGCTACCACATGTTCGAGAATGAAACCAGAGGAGTCAGGCAGAGCAGGAAGGTGGAGAGAAATCATTTGAACACTCAGTTCACTTGTACCCAAAGTCTGACAACCCACTGGACTTCAGAGCTGAGTGAGCCAATAAATTCACAATATAGTTTAAAGCAGTTTTAGGTTGGTTTTCTGTCATTTGTAATTAAATGTGGTCCTGACCCACTCATTCCTGGAACTGAATTATCAGTTCTTCCGAACTGGAGACTTTACATCTGGCTAAAGGAATAAATTCGTTGTGAAGTTCATAACCTATAATTTGACAGCTGTGTGAGTGAATTTGTGTGAGTATATGTGTAAGTCTAATCTGAGTATAATTAACTGTAGAAGGTTTAAAACTTTTAGGCATGCAGGTGTCCTAAATAGTGGTTATCTGTATAATTGCAGCAGGCTGTATTTATCTTCTAGTTTTATGGCCAATGATATTAATATTGAAATTTATGCCAACTAATATGCAGATCAGCACAGCTTTGGTGCTTTAAGAAAACAAGAGGTAGGATTGCAGCACTGGCGTTTCTATGGCGCTGATGCTGTGATGAAAGAAGACGGAAAGGGCAAGAGCGCAGATGCGACGTGTTCCCTGGGAACACCCAACGCAAACGGGAAGTTTACAGCCCTGTCAACTGTTTGAAAATAGAAAACAATCCCGCAACTTAATATAGCAGTTTAATCATTCATTAATTTATTCTGGGCAAACACTGCAACTCCTCAGAAATGATGCCAACCATAAACAAAATCTACAACCACAGAAGAAAATATGTACTTTTACTTGTGCCAAATGTCAAAACTCACATCTATAACTGATCCAGTTGAAACACTGAAGTCTGCCTTTCTTCAGTGACCACTTGATACCCACTATTGGACATAGATTTTACTATTATGTATCTAATTCAACGTTATATAGAGTGTGTGTGTATATATGTTTTAAAATTATCAGTTAGAATAGGTTAAGTTATGAATCAGAGAAACTTAAAAGCAGTAGCTTGAATAAAGTGGAAATTTCTTTCTTTCTGAAGCAAGGTAGAAACAAGGAAATAATTTAGGAGGGATATCAGCCACAATAGGCTAGGTTATGCAGTAACAAACAACCCCTAAGTCTTTGTGGCTTGTATCAACAAAATTTTATTTTTCACTCATGCAACATATCCATTGCAGGTCTGCTGGGAGCCCTGCTCCTTACCTACTCACTCCAGGACCTGGGCGAATGGAGCAGCCACCATCCTGAACGTGGACAGTCCCTATAGCAGGAAAAGGAACATAGCATTCATGTTCGGGCTCTTAGCGCCTCTGCCTAGACATACCACACGTCACCTCTACCCTTGTTTTATTGTCCAAATCAAGTTAATATGGTCAGTCCTGAGTTCAACAGAGGAACACTGTATTCCCTTCAGAGAGAGGCACTGCAGGAAAAGAAAATGGAATATTTGGTGGACAGTAATACAGTGCAGTGCTGGAGGCATCACTGTGGTCCAAAGAAGAGATGATGGTAGCTTTGAAGGGCGCAGTGTCAGCAAAGGCAGAGATAAATGCACAGATTTGAGATTATTTTTGGAGTTGCTTTTTGGATGTGATGATGGCTTGAATATGATATTTGTTTGTTTGTTTTGTTCAGTCACCCTCATTAGACAGGGCAAGCCATAATATTCATCTCCTTGTCTCCAGGGCCAAACATGCAGAGGTTGACTGAATGAATGAGTGGGATTCCACAAATCGGAAATTTGCCTCCTGGATGTACCATGCTTGGAATTTCCCTCAATCGGCTGAAGCTGTTACGTAAAGAGGGAGAAGATTAATTTTTTTTTTTTTCCATTAAGAGAGAGCCTCACTGATTAGATTTTCTGCAGGCTGGTGAGGGAAGCTGATTTAAGAAATCCTTCTTCTTGCCGCAGTGCTGATCCTTTTGTGGGAAAGAGTGGACTCAGAGAACCCCAATGTCCTGCGCTGACCTGCTCCGTTCCCTCTTGGGTTTTACATTTCATTCATTTCTTGTCAGGTTCGGATCTCTCTTCATCCCAGGATAGAATGGAAGAGTGGGCATCTGTGACAATGCCTTTGGAGAAAATAGATTCTAGATAGAGCCAATAAATCCAGGACACAGAATAGTTCCCTTTAACAAAGAGTGTCTGGTAGAGGGGAAAATTCCTGCAGAAAACAAGCTGTCAAAAAGGCCACAAGGAAGTCTGCCCTCCATGCCCCTGATAGCCCATAGGAGGGTACTGCTTGTCCCTTCCCTCAGCTTCTTATGATGCTATAGGCCTTGTGGGACGCTAGGTGACAAAAATGACCTGCTGTTTCTCTAACAAGAAGGGTGATTCAGCCCAGTGTGCAGACACAGCAAGTCTTGAGGAATCTCAGGGATAAGGCAGATCTCTCCTGGTCCTGTCCACACTGAGCACGTTGTGGGTGTCCAGGCAGTGGTAGCTGACTGGAGCTTTGAGGTTCAGCGTGGCTGCCCCTTCCTCCATCAGGAATAATTTTCACTGTCTCCGGTCAAAGCAAATCACCAACAGAGGCCTGCCTACTACTGAGCAAAGCGTCATTCCCCTTTTCAGTGAGGCCTGTATTACCCCAGGGGACTGGGTTCTTCTTTAAGATGCTGAGTGGAACCCCTTTTGGGTTATCTCTGGTTCTTACCACATCTTATTCACCTAGTTCAACATGGGGATGCCCAACTTGGAAAGAGCTAGGCTTGGAGGAGCCATGGAGGAGGGGAAGAGTGCTGCTCTTGCCTATGAGGGAAGCGGTGGAGCCTGTCTGGCAAACGTGGCCCACAGGATGTGAGCCCTCCCCGGGCCGGCCACTGTAGTTCGGGGCCACGGCCCAGCCTTGGACTCAGCTTCAGAACAGGAGTGATACAGGCTTGCCTCCCAAGTCTTCAAGCCTCATTCTGCCAATAAATCAGTTGCAATCTCATGCATAAGAGAACAAGGAGCTGTCCCTCTGGTTTGATTTTAGATCAAATCCTCTGGTTTGATTGGTGGCTCCAATCTAAACATAATTTCCTTTGGCCCATCTTCGAGGCTTAAATGCCACCATTTGAGGTTTGTTCCTTGGAGGTAAGCAGTGCCCTCCTCCCTGGGTCTCATGTAAAATGGGAACATTCCTCAGTGGAAGGACACAAGTCACCCGCACCTTACAGGAAACGAACGAGCTCACCATCAAGTGCCTCCGACCCGGGCTGGAATGAAAGACATCAAAAAGAGATTGGGGGTTTTGGTGGCAGAGAGGGGACCGGAAACAAGGGAGAAAGAAGAGAAAGAGGTGGAGGCCATAAATTTCAGGATGACAGTAACAGGTAGAGAATTACCCAGGTTCTATAGGGGAGCTTCTGAGAGTACAGACCTGGAGTGTGGCCTTGGTCAGGCTTCTAAGGGGCAGAAGAGAACTGGGGCCCCAGGAGAGAGTACTAGAAATGTTTCCTAAGAGACAGTAGCAAGCTTGGGATATACACTGCCGATCTCTCAACCTCTCAGACCCTGACCTGCATGGATAATTCCAGCACAGGTCCCAGTAACTGAATTTTAGCAGGAAGGGCTGGTACTGGGAGTCAGCAATACTGTCTATTTATGTACCTGGGAAGATGGCATGGGAGGGATGCAGTAGCAGCCAGGGCTCCAAGCTTCGGGCCCTGGCCGGGGACTCTTCTGCTCAGCAGGCACTCATTCCCAGATGCACATCCAGGTCCCCGTTTGCCAGCAATCACAGGGTTCAGAGAGCCAAGTGCTTCCACAGCTCAGCCTACGTCACCCACCATCTGCTCCCCTGAATGGGCCAGGCTCACAAGGAGGCCTGTTGGCCAGGAACCAGTATCTGATTCTCCCTCTGTAGCTGTGCGGTGAATGCAGAGGGCGCTTGTGTTGGCTCTGACTCTTGCTCTGGGGCAGTTGATGTCCCCTTATTCTAGGCAGGGCACAGACAATGCCAAGAGACCGGATCCCAGCCACCCTTGGATTGCTGAGAAGCTCTGCTTGTTGCCGGGCTCATGACCAGCTGGGTCTGATGGTTCGTGTTCTAACCCCTAAGTCGTGTCCACCACCTTGTGTGAAGGCCATCTTCATGCGATGCTTTTCTGCCTTCATGTGGTAAGCGTAAAGTCAGTATTCTTTTGGAGAAAAAGTAAACAGAAGCCAAACAAAACTGGTTTCCAGGCTAACCCCCTGCCTCCTGCCATCAATATTATACCTTAATTATTTGTGATACATAAAAAAGGAGTGGAAACTAACTGACATGCCAATCAACAGCTTCTTCCCTCATCATCTGACCTGGGGGCAGCAGGTACTTTATGCTGTGAATACATAGATACCCACAGAGTACCACAGGCCAATAAATGCAAAATCCACAGCTTGCCCCCACTCCTCCTCTCTCCAGCACAGTGCCCAGTGCATCGTAAGGGCTGAATTAATGAGTTCACCCTTGGGGTCAACTCTGAACTGGGCTGACTTGTCAACAACCGGTCCCAGGAAAACCAGGAGGGAGTTGTCCACTCACTGACCTCAGATGAACATTGGATAAACTGTTGATTCCTCTGGTTATTTATGAGTTATAACATGCATATAAATGAACATGTTTTATTAACTGATAAAAATTATTAAATTTTATCTATGTAAAACATGCATTCCATTCTATAGGCAGCTAACCTGGGTTAAAACACGAGCTTCTGGGATGCTGTCAGAACTCATGTTCCTGAACGCATATCTGCCCCATGAAAGGGCGCTCCTTCCAGTCTTGGGCGCTGGCATTACAGAGCTCATCAAAACCACCTCATTTCATAGATGGAGAAACAGAGGCCTGGAGAGGCAAAGCAGCCCGAGAGTAGTTACCCAGCATGAGATGGGGAGGCAGAACCAGTATTAGGAATCATGCCCTTCTGGCCACCACCCTTTCTCTCTGCCATGCTCCCCAGGAACGGAGTTTCTAAGGGTCTCCCCAGGGAACATGGCCTTTTGTCATTCTCTTTAAAGCATGCTGTGATAAACAATCCCGAGTGATTTTCCCCCCTATAATTCCACATGGAGATTATAGGCCAGCCTATGTTATTCTGTCATTGTATTATGCTGGTTTCTTATTCTATTGAAATGTTTCCTTTAGCTCTATTGGAGTCATATAGAATTTACTTTAAACAGAGAGGAACTAGCTTCTAGGAGATGAGGTAATTATTAGATCAGGAGCTCAGACATTTTAAATTAGGACAGAAGACCCTGGGTAAAACTGTGAAGGAGGCCAGCAAGCTTGGTTCACACACGAGGGAACTCTCTGCAAGGTGTCAATAGATTCATGTGTGCGCTAACCACTGATTATAGACTAAACAAATACTGCTTGACACTTGTATCTCCTGTAGGCCCACAACCATGTATTTTGTAAGTCAGACATTCGCAGTTTTGGAAGCCAGGTAATAGAATGCACAAACCACATATTAATAACATTCCCAGCAGAGTGTGGGGCAGTGCCGTGTAATCAAACACTAATACTTCTGCAATGAAATATGGGAATGTTTGCTACTAATGGGATAAAGAAAGACTATAAATAGCCTTATGTCAATTCAAGTCAGGTTTTACCCCCCAAATTAGTTTGTCGCAAACTTACCCCAAAACTGTTTCCAGTGCCTTATGAAGTTCAGGATTGTACATGAGGAATTGTAGCTTTATCTTAATTTAAAGATACGACGAGTATACTGATCAATGAGAGAAGTTTATTAAATAAGTTTCAATATTTAATAATACACCATTTGCCATTATCTATTTTCTCAGTCAGTGGCTAGATACAAAGACAACGGAATCTCATGTCAGAATTTACAAAATTTTAAGGGCTCCCGACTGTCCTTATTGAAGCCCCAAGGTCCAGCGTGGCTGGGAGAACCCCCCTCAAGGGACCACTTTCCTTCCTAGTGCACAGCCACTCCTGAGGGTGGGAGGGCACCTGGGATCTAAGGCAGGAACTGGATTAGGAAATCCTTTAAGGTAAGGAACTCCCAGTCTTATGAAATAGGACAACCCCTTTTAATTGTATAGGCTCCAGAGCTAGATTGCTGAGTTAAAATCCTTGCTCTGCTGTTTCTTTTAAGACCCCACACCGGTCATTTTACCTCTTTGTGTTGCAGCAGCATCCTCAGTTATAAATGGGGGTAAGAATAGTTCCTATTTCATAGGACTATTGTAAGGGCTGAATAAGTTAATTCAAGTAGCACTTTTAGAGAGATACCAAGGACATAGTAATCTCTCAATAAATGTTGCATATTATTACTACAATCACTATTAGTTTACATGTCTATGGTAGGCAGAATAATGCCCCCCCAAATAATGCCCCCCCCTAAACCCCATAACCTGTTACAGGATATACNTACAATCACTATTAGTTTACATGTCTATGGTAGGCAGAATAATGCCCCCCCAAATGTTCACANGGTAGGCAGAATAATGCCCCCCCAAATAATGCCCCCCCCTAAACCCCATAACCTGTTACAGGATATACTGGGACATACCCCAGAATATGGCTTTACAGATGTGATTAAGTTCAGGATCTTTTGATGAGGAGATTATCCTGGATTATCCAAGTGTTCCCAGCCCAGTCACTTAAATCCTTAAAAAGGAGGAAACTGTTCCTGACTGTGGTAGGAGAAAGAGAGGTGATGGGGGAAGCAGAGTCGCAGAGAAGCTACACTGCTGACTTTGAAGATAAAGGAAGGGGCCGGAAGTTAAATGTAATATATCCATAGAATTAAAGCTTATCAGGCCCTAAGAGGAATGAAATTCCTCTTAGGTGCATGCAGTGTTTGCTCTTCCTTGGCTCCACTCCCATTGCATCCTGATTGCTCTCTGCTTACACTTCATGGGGCTCCTTGGCCTGTCCCCCATCCACCTGTGAGGGCCTCGAGGGCGGAAGCTGTGCCTCGCCCACTACTCCACTCGCATCCCGTGCCTGGCATAGAGCAGGTCTCAGGGTGGGTGCTTATTGGAGATTTGGTGAATGAATGAATGAATATTAAATGAGTTATCCATCTTTCTCTCCTGGTCCCTTTTGTCATCAGGCACATACACGTGTGAGAACAAATGACTGGGATAAATGAATCTGTTTTCTTCTCAGAAAATCATGTGAGACTGAAAACGCTGAACAAAAATCAGTCTTGTTACCAAGCTCATCACTAGATGTAGTCATGGCTCCCCTGCCACCTAACCAAATTCACTTTTCTTTTTTAGAGGCAATAAAGAAACGGAAGAAAGATGGACTAAGAGCAGTGGATCTGGACTCACCCCGCAGGAGACTGTGTGAGCCAGTAGAATGATACCCGGCAAGTAAGCACTCACTCGGGAACTATTCGTGCTGTTCCACATCCCAGAGGCCCTGGGCCTCCCTGATACCTGCTAGTCAAGGTTAACCATCTACAGAGTTACCTTGGCAAACAGCAACAGACATATAAACAAAATAAATATTTTTATTTCTTCATTTTCATTTGAGGTAGATTTGGCCCTTTCAAAGTATAGGGCCCTTAATTCCCTAAAGGTCAGGTCACAAATGCCTTCCTGTGGCGAGTGTGGTTGAGTTAATTGGACAAGGGCAATTAGCTGCATGTTGTCCCACATTAGTCAGAAGCAAATGGGGACTGGTGCCAAGGAGATACACAGAAGTCAGGTACACAAAGTGCTAGCTCTGCATGGCCTTCAGGCAGCAGTTTCTTCCTAACGTTTAGACCACAACACAGACAGTATTTTTGGAGGGTGGAAGTAAAGAGAAAGAAGGACAGAACGAAAAGGAATTTCACAAAATACCAAAACTATTGTGTTTCCTGACTAGTATCCAAATGTAAGTCACAAGATCTCCCTGCACCCTGCCCCTTGGTGAGGGGACGGCAGCTGGTACATTGCAACCTACTTCCCAGAAGTTTTAAATCGATCATTTAGAGATGGACTCACTTTCACTCAGTCCTTGGTCCTGCTTCTCCTATAGATAAGAACTTGCTGATGTAGGGTAAGCCTCGCAAATTGCTGAGAAAAAGAAAATATTTCTGATTTGGGAAAATTTCCAAAATTTGGAGAAATCGTAACAGTATACAGACCTGGGGTGGGCTCCTGGCTACTTGGGCACTTTCCTAGGCAGGAGAGGAGGTTTTCTCAGGATGGTGAGGATGGGGCCCATTCCTCCCAGCAGCCAGGAGTGGGGAGAAAGGGCACCTCCTCTGACCACGTGAGACCATCCTCACCAGGTAAAAAAGCACCACTGCCCTGCCCTCCCTGACTCTGCCTTAAAAAAAATCACCGAAAACCCCTATCACATATAGAGCAGAGGTCCTCATATGTTCAGATGTGGGACTCAGCTGCAATGCCTGTTAAAAATGCAGAGTCCTGGCCCCCACACCTTTCAGATATGGGATGGGGCCCAGGACTCACTCAGCGGTCCCATGAGCTTGACAGCACAGCTGGAGAAACTCCACTATGGATGCTTGCACAGTTCCCTAGGAAAGAGTAACTGATGGGATGTTATTAATGCCCATGAGAAAACCCTGTTTTACAGAAGAGGAAACAGAAACCCAGAGAAATTATGGAAATTTCTCCAGGCCTGCTTGTCCCCAGGGTTAGAGACAGGATGCAAGCCCAGGTTCATGCAACTGCAAAGCTAATGCTTATTCCACTCTGCTGAGCTGGCTGTGGGATCAACAGACATTCAGTAAAAATAACCCTGGGCAGGCCTCCCTCTTCCTTTCCCTACATTCAGGGCCCCCAACATCTCTGAGGGTCAATGGCATTTACTTCAAAAGTGTTTATTATTCTATTTCCCCTTGCAGTGGATGTCACAAGGAGACTTACCCCTGATTTTAATTAGGCTACTTAGAATCCCATAAACTTATATTGGCGCCAGGGGGGACAATGCCTTTGAGGAGTCCATGTAGAAAGACATTTAGCTTCCTTTAAGGAGGGTCTTTTCTGCTACTTCTTTCTGGCCCTGAACCTTGGGTGACAATGCTCCAGGACAGTGACAAAGCTCCAAGCCTCACAGAGGCCTCGACACTTCAGAAACAAGGAGCCCTCCCGCAAGGTGCTGAGCTATGACGCAGGTCAGATATCACTGATGGGTGCATTTGGTAAACCAATCAGTGAGTTGAAGAACGAGGAAGCTGCTTGTCTATTTACATCCTAGGGACAATATGGAATTGTCTTTTTTCTCCACCGGGGAAGACACATGGAAGTGTGGGCTGAGAGAGGGGAACAAGCCTAGTGAGCGCTCAGATACTAGTGACAGGCACGCTCTTCCTAACCCTGGGCAGCCAGTGGGGCCCCGGCTGGTGAGGGAGCGGGGTTCAGAGCTTGGGGAAGCCCTCAGTGGGTGCAGATGTGCCCAGTGGGAGCTGCGGTGGGGAGGGGCCTGCACACGGCCTGCCTGTGATCTTCAAAGCAGCCCTGGCAGAAAGGGGATGAGAAATCTTGGGCAGTCTTTTTATTTTCAAAGACCAAATAGATTAAAGGCAGCTGATCAGAGACATTCTTTTTTCTCCTCTTCAGCCCATCTTCAGCATTTGGTCTCTGAGGGAAACTGAGTGTTTATCAAACTACACAATGGACCGCTGCAAGCCCTCTACTCTACTGCAGGTTACACTGTCTGTGCAGGAGCCAGGTCAGTCTCTCAGTGACACCCAGTTACCAGCCACCGGTTTAGGTGGGCCCGCTTTTGGAAGAGTTAGCATCTCACACAATTTATCTCACCACCCACATTTCTTCTACATCAATTCTGGACCAGACTTTGCTCACCCAAAGAAAACCCAACCTCAGTTCTCATAATGAACACTTACTGTTTCTCTGTCCCGTTTTCCCTCCAGCCTGGGGCATCATTTCTGTCTCTGTCCACATTGCTGTATTAGGACTAGCCATGTTCCTGTAGTGGGACTCATCCACCCCACACACACTGTAGTTCCTGAGGCCACGGTGGTCGTATCGCTGAGCTGAGCCAATCAGTCTCAAAACAGGATGACTGAATTTTCTCCTCAATGGTGGGATCAGTCAACTTGACTTTAGAAGGTTCTCTACAGCCACGGTTTTCTGTCATGTGAGCCAGAAAAGCAGAGGCGGCGAGATTATAGAGAGGAAGAGAAGAATGGAGCAGAAACAAAGAGCTGGAAACAGAGATGGGGAAGAACCTGGGGCTGTTCTGTCCCTGGTTCAGTTCCTTTGGCCCAGCCACATTCCTCAATTCAACTGAGCTGGACCCAATGGTCTCTGTAATTTGCATTCAAAAGAGTTCTCTGTATATAACTCACCTTCTTTTCCTCCAAGTATTAAAGCATGAGATGCTCATGGTAGATTTGATTGCCCACGTGGTTTTCCCAGCGTTGTCTCAGGGATTGCCAGTGGAAAGGCATGGCCTTAGAACCATCATAATAAAACTAACTAGTTGTGAAGCATCTATTTACAGTGTTGACTCAATTTTCTGACAGTAACCGGAGGCTTAATGAGGTTAAGCAAGCTGCCTCACGTTGCACAGCGAGCAGGTAAATGACTGAGCCAGGACTCCACAACTCCTAACTGTTCTGCCCTGTGCAGATTCAGCCCAATGGAACGGTCATCTAACCAGTGGTTTGTGAACTAGTGTAATGATCACAATCACCCTAGTTCTCATTCCAGAACTGCTTAATTAGAGGATTGGAGTGGGGAAAGTCGCAAGGTATGCGCTTAAAAACTTTTTAAAAAGTAAAAGTTTAAAAGAAAAACACATGTATATTCAACAAATATTTGCTAAGCACTCATCTATCAGAATTAGGTTTGGCTACAAAAAAATAATACTAATCATGCAGCTTAAACAAGGTAGAGGTATTTTTTTCTCTCTCATGTGAAACAAGTCCAGAGGTAGGCAACCTAGACCTGATCTGGGACCAAAGACTCAGGCCTTTCCTAAAGTGGGCCCTGTAAGTAAGCTTACCTCATGGACACAATCATGGCTGTTGCAGCTCCAACCATTACATACATGTTCCAAGCAGTAGGAAGGAAAACAAGTCAAGGGCAAAAGGGCATGCCTTCTTTAAAGAGGAAGCCTCCTTCAAAGTGTTTTCCAAGAAGCTCCATCTCATGACTTCTACTTTGACCTCTTTGACCACTTCTATTGATAAGAGAGGCGGCAGATGTAGTATTGTAGCTGGGCACAACTGCTGGACCGGACAATGTAGGGACTCTCTCACTACAGAGGAAGGGGAGCATGCATGTTAGGTGGGAACTGCAGCCTTAGCACCACCCATTATATGCCAGGCACTATTCTAAGCTGTGAGGATGCAGCAGTGAAGAGACATAGTCATTAGCTGCTTTCATGGTGCTTGCATTCAGTAGGAAAATAGGCAAGAAGTAAGCAAAAAATAAACATTATAATTTTAAGTAGTGATAAGTAAGGGTGGTAATTTTAAATAGAGCAAAAAAGATGAAGGTCTCTCTGAGCAGGTGACATTTGAGTGGAGACCTGATAGATGTGACGGGGGTGGGAAAGGTATTCTGGGCAGAGGGAACAGCACCCATCAAGGCCTTGGGCAGGATAACACAATGTGCATTTTGGTGGTGAGTGCTGATTCAAAACCTTGAAAAGTCTTGTATAACCTGTTCAGATGAGATGAAAATAATCTGGGTTACATTAATTGGAGAAACAATGTAAGCAACATTCCACTATGTTTTATTTATTCACAAAGCACATTTTCTTATCAATATGATAGGTATTAACATTGCGAGTTATTACCATTAATCTTGCTGGTGTAATTGTAATAATAAATACCTCTTGCTCCCTTAAAGTGTCGCATGGGATGTATTTTAGAAAATTAAAGTGAATTATTACAATACATTAAATATCAGTATAGTATGGGTACTTCTAATTGCATTTCAGGACTTTCATTTTTGTTAATGTAATTGCAGATTCTTCCCTCCCTAAAAGTGCTATATGAGATATATTTATTTTTTTCAAGTTCAGATGAATTTAAGTTGAACAATAACCTATAGCATTTCTCGAGAAATGCTTAGGTGTCTTTCCTAAGAGTATCTGGCCTTGCTTTGTCTTTCTCTTGCTTTGAGTGGTCACCTCCTGTTATTATATTCTGGGGCTGGCAACGTTTTCTTCTTCACCTTATCCATATCGTTTATGATTTTATTGATTTTGTTCAAATTTCCATTTCAACCTTTGCCATCATATTGAAATCATAATCTTTTAAAATCTCTTCTTGTGTGCCAGACCTTCCTCCCGCCACACTGTGCCCTTCTCTTTATCGTTGCTCCTTTCCACATCCGTGATATCTTTCTTGATAAAGTAGCCATCAGTATGCACTTTCTGTAACCATTACACTGCACAAGCAAGACCGTGGCATAGAATCATGAACCGATGCTTCGCCTCTCGCAGTCCCTTTCAGTCTGTAGAGGTTAGCTTTCCTCAGGCATCCAGATGAAAAATCAGGCAGGTTTTCTGGCCACCCAGATAATGTAAGATCCTCCAATCAATAATTTAAAAGTCCAGTCGCATGTAATGGATAATACTTTGAACTTGGTTCAATATTCAGTTTTCTCTTCCTTCCCTGACTGTGCCCTGTTGCAGGCAGGAGCTGGCAGCAAAGGAACGGAATGTATTCTTTCTTCCAATTGTGCTTTTCCATCTCCCTCTTCATCTCATTAACTGTGACCTCTGACCTGGCAGAAGGAGGGAGAAGAGATAACATTGGTCAGGAAAATTTTCTTCTTTTTTTAAATCCTTACCTGAGGATTTTTTCCATTGATTTTTTTTTTTTTTTTTTAGAGAGAGTGGAAGCGGGGGGATGGAGACAAAGAGAGAGGGAGAAATATTGATCTGAGAGAAACACATCGATTGGTTGCCTCCAGCACGTGCATTGAGCCTGCAACCCAGGTACGTGCCCTTGACCAGAATCAAACCTGAGACCTTTCGGTGTGCAAACCGATGCCCTAACCACTGAACCAAATTGTCTGGGGCCAGAAAAGTTTTTCTTTACCTAATACTACCATGAACTCAGTGTTGCCCTCTTTGGGTCTGGGATGTGTTTAAAGTCGATTCTTTTTCTAATAAGTATCTTGTGGGGGGTTTTTGGACTTCCCATCACTGGAGACCTCCTGGCCTCTGTGGTTCACTATCAGCAATACACTCTTTTCCAGCTCATCACTGTTTACCTCTGCTTGCTGGCATTTCGCATTACCTCTGGCTGATCTCTGTGGCTGTCTGTTTATCTCTCCGGGCAGCCCTCTTGGATAAGACAGTGCTTGCTCCACATTTGACTCATGGAAAGCAGTCTTATATCTTTTGCACTGACAAACTGTGAGAGCAGACCACCCAGTTCAGCCTCTTCTCCTTGGTTAGTGGGTCAGTAGCTGACCAGCCCAACTGTTGCTCTTAAAATTTCTTGGGTGGGAACTGGACACTGTTTAATTTGTCCCAAAATTGCATAGGACACAGATCTACTCTCAGAGTGTTCCTGTTGAAGGCTCTTCACTAATTTTGACACGAGGAGCTGGTGTCCCAGTCCTGCCTATGAGGAAAGGATTGGAATCATAACACACTGAGAGCAGTCTCTAAAAATGTTCCCTCAACCTCCACGCTCTCCTTTCTTCACTTCTCCAATTTCTTACATAGGCTAGAGGTGGGTGGTCAGCTCACAGTTGAAACTGGTTTTCAACCCCTCACCTCTTTTTTTTTTTTAAAAAGTCTCTTTATTTTTAAATAATTATAGGTTCACAGGAAGTTGCAAAGAAATTACAGGGAGAGTCCATGAAACTTTGACCTTCAATGTTAACGTCTTGCATAACCATAAAGCAGTATCAAACCCAGAGAACTGACATTGGTTCAATCCACAGAGCTTACTCAGATTTCACTGGTTATGCATTAACTCGTGTGTGTGTGTGTGTGTGTGTGTATGTGTGTGTTTGCCTGTTTGCAACTCTAAGCAATTTACCACGTGTGGTTTTCTGTGACTCCCATCACAATCAAATACATACCTGTACAGCCCCTCAAGGCTTTTTCATGCTACCCCTTTAAGCACACCCCTTTCTTCTCTTATCCCTAGTCTGGAGGCCACTGTTCTGTTCTCCATTTCTGTCATTGTTATTTCATGGAATCATTCAGTATATGTCTTTTTGAGATTGCCAGCCATCTCCTTTTTATAAGCCCTTTAAAAAGTAATGGTCTTATTTTGGAATGTAAGATGTATTTGTTTTGGTGCATCAGCTAAAATAGAGGTAAGAAGAGTCCCATTTTAACATCCTGTTACAAACAGTTTTGTTCAAGTTTGGACATACTTCATTTTGTGTCTTTCTGATGATTCAGCATTTTTTTCACTTAACAAATATTTACGGAGTGCCTGGCATTTTATTGTCTTTGATGCTATTGTCCTGCATTAAGCTTAATGTCCTCAGGAAAGCAAATAACTCCTAAGGTCTCCTCTTGGCTTTATGGGTTGTTCTGGGGCTATAATTCTACAACTTTTTGTTTTCAAGGTGCTTTAACTTGAACTTGCCCACACAGAAGTTTCTGTACCACTTTCTGCATTGCCTGAAAAAGCCTCTATCCCACTGACTTGCCGTTTCACTTCTTAGGATGTCTTGGGGTCATCTGCAACCTTGACAGTTTCGTCGTGTGCCTAGTTTTTTGAATCTTTTTTAAAAATTACTCACCAAGATCAACCCCTCTTGATCTCTGAGGACTCTTATTTTTGGCAAGGAAACGGCTCTTATTTATTACCTGGTTTTCCTATTTTGGGACCTGAGTCTTCATCCATTTCTAATAATCCCTTAATCCTATGGTTACTCAATTGTTCTTTACTCACCCACACTAAGTTTTTGGTGTGGACACTTGTCAAAGGCAATTCAAAAGCCTAAAAAAATGACTTGTGCCCCTTTCTCCATGTAAACTCTGATAACCAGACTTGAATCCTCTCTAGAGAACTCACCCTGCCTTTGCCTCCATGGGTTGTGCTGATTTGAGCTTTCCACAGTTCTGTACTTTATTTAACGATTCCATCAGCTTGTTTAGTATTTTTAGGGAGAGACAACCAGTGGGTGGTTTTCCAGAGTCCTCTCTGGGAACTCAGGACAAGGCTTACACTGGCAAGCCGACTGTTGTCTCTCTAACACAGCAGCTGTTGCAACAACTGGTCTCACATCATGGTCAGCAGCTCCGCAAGTCTGCCCGTGAATTCATTTGAAATTCTTAGGTGATCATATCCTGTCTGGGTGATTTACTGATATCTGTTTTGCCAGTTAAGACTAGAACATTTTGTGCATTTACTACAATTTTATTGAATGTTCCAATCTGTTCATTTCAAGGGCACACATCTTCCCTGGTAAAGGGCAAGGCACAGCATTGATACAATCTCTTTTCTATTTCTTTTTTCATTTTTCAGTGCATTCCATTGGTGCCCTCAGCTTCTTGGTTTTGTTTTTGACATTCTTTGAGGTTTCCTGCAAGGTGTTGTTTAATAGATCACAGGATTTCAGAAACAAAAGGAATGTTAAAATGTAATTTGGTCGAAAGGCCGCAGCCTAAAGATGAAAAACTACATTTGAAAGAAGTTTTGTGACTCAACCTGACCCACTTAGTGGCTTATATTTCCTTTCTG